TCTTTGATTGAGATATATTCCTCAAAAGCCCAAGTCGTTTTGACAGTTTCCTACATAATTCATCTGTGTGTGCTTCAAAGCTAAGATCTTTATCAATGATTAAACCTAGTAACTTGTGATACGATAACTTTTCCCTTCTAATCGCTTCACAATTTTACGTGAATTTTACACGATTTTCCGGACAGAACTCAACTCTATTGATGCCGCATGCACTATATATTTTTAAGACTTAAACAATTTTTCTGAGACATCGTTGTGCTCAATAGACAAAACGTTGGACAAAATTCGGTCTTCTTTTCTGATAAGCTTTACTTTCCCCAATAATCCAAAATATTACTTTTAGTATTGTTCAGTTCCTGAATGAGAACACCCACTGATCACTGAAACAAGCAATGAAGTCAAAGAAGCCCGCCTTACCTTCCTATATTATAACGCTGACTTCTTGTTACTGCTACCCTGCGAACAGAGTTTCCCTTGATCTTCCTGGATTAGTCGAGACAATAAAACTCCAAGTTTAGTAAGCAGCTTTAGCGCTAACAATCGTCTTCTTGTTTCGGTTGTTCCAGTATGATTCGAAGTTTGCCACGTACGAACCGTATGACTTTTGTCAAGAACTTGGCAATTGGTATAGGTAATAGCATGATTTGTAGTGATATTTGGCATAAATACCACGAATTGTTAATATACGTAATCACGAGTGGTATTTATATACAACCGAGGAGAAGAGAAATCATGCAGGTAATTTACTTTCTCTTCGCACTTGAAAAGTTTCAATGTTTGTTCGAACTGATTAGTGTGTCTTTCTACCTGTGTAACCTTTGTTTATGCGAGTTTTTGTATCGCATTTGCTGAATGAAAACGTCATTTCAATACTTCAAACTACATCATATCAGTAGTCGGAGAAGTCCATCTTCTAAATCTAATAAATGAGCTATTACTATTTCTGTCTATTTCTTTAACATTTGACATAAGTATTCATGAGCGAAAAAAATAAAACCTGTGTAACCAAAACTTTGTACACCAATTTCACCCGACGTAATTGCTTCCTTAAGGTATGGAAGAATTTGTCCATTGTTCTAAAGATAAGATCACATGCAAAACTGACTTGCATTTTTGTGAACTGTGATGAAAGCAAGAAAATTTTGCGTGTTGTCTCCCTCTCCCCTTCTTCTCTCGTAGTCTACAGTCTGTAGTGCAATCTCAACATTCTATATTTGCACGACTCAGCCCAGTGCTACTAACAAGGACAACGCTCGTCCAGCCGTAGTTCCTGTAATTCATTGAATGACTCAATAGTTAATCGGTATATCGGCACAATGAAAAATAAATACGTCTCTTACTGGAGGGTGCGAATGGGGTTAACAGTTAACTGATATTTGGCCAAATAAATAGTAGTTAACTGATAATTGGCCAACAAATTAGTAGTTAACCGATAAATGAAAAGTTAACAGTTAAGTGATATTATATTAATGTTAACGAAAGCAACAAAGTTTTGCAACCAGAAATGCTGTTTTCTGACATTTTTCTGTCCGGCTGATGACCAGGTGGCACATTAACTTATATTACTATGTGCCAACAACAACAACAACAACGAGCTTTATTTACATGACCATAAAAACACATACAGTACTGCAAAAGCTATGTTTAGGAATCAAAATTACAACATAGGGCAATTACGTTACTTTGATTATACCACTACATGAGAAATTTCTGCAATTTGATTGGCTTAGAGCAGTGGTATTTCAGCTAAATTTGAAATACCTACATGTGAAAATTACAAATCCTTTGCAGGTAGTAGTATAAACAAATAATAGCATGATTTGTACGTGACATTTGACATAAATACCAATCGTGATATTTCAAAATTGTCTCAAATTTCACTCGCCTAACGGCTCGTGAAATTACGTATACCAATTTTGAAATATCACTCGTGGTATTTATGCCAAATATCACCTCTAATGATGCTATTACTTATACTAATAATTTGTCACGAACAACAAAACAAGCTGAACTATATTTTATGAATTGTATATTGATAAAGTATTTAGAAGAGTTCATCAGTTCATTGATCAAACCGTTTATAGGTAAATGGGTAATATTTGGAAACAGTGTCTTGACTTTATAGTAAAATTTATTCCTAATCATAGAGTATACAGGACATTGAAAAAGAAAGTGAACATCGTTTTCTATTACAGAGGCCCTGTTAGGGGGAGTGCCCGTGTCCCCCGTCTGAATTTCACAGCCAGCTATGTCGCAATTTCGGAACATTCTCGTGTCGCCTGTCGGAATTTCAATAATAATTTTTTAGTTCCTTGCCAGTCTGACAATCCGCATTCGCTGCAACGACGCTAACGGAACATACGGCCTCTATCTTTAGTACTTTTAAGCCCAGGGTTTTAAGACCTTTATAAATGTTTGATATTCATTCAGACTACTTGGAATAGTAATTGAAGTCAATAAAATTCCATTTAGTAAACTATACAAGTGTAGAGATATTTTTAAAATGGCTTGGCATGAATCGAGGCCTAATCTGGCAAAACACTCGAGCTATCATAACGTTTTCTGAAATTCTTTTAGTGCAAGAGTCTAATGTTTCTTCCGAGTTAAACTCTGATTTTTCCGTAACTATAACAACCCAGGAGGAAGGACATTATCAACCATTCATTATCTGTAAGACATGCGTTTACTTAAAGTTGCAAAACGAGTGAGACGCGCGCTTTCATCGATTTAAAAATCCTACTGGTCTCCTATCTTTTTTTAAGATGTCCTCCTCGATATTTGGGTGACCCTATTCGGTGGAATGGCGGAATACACGGAATATTATAAAACATTTTACATTCTGTTCAAAATAGGGCACCTCTGATATAATCACACTACGAACTTTAATTGTCCAGTATGTATTAAATACTCCTAAAGGGAAATTATTTACGTGTTTTATCGACTTCAAAATTAAAAAGGATGGTCACGGTCTTTTTTACAAACTCTTACAATATAACATAGGTGGAAGATTCTATGATCTAATTAAAACTCCCTCACTCCAAGTCGAAATGTTCTGATTAAGATTGATAATCAGAGAACAGAATTTTTGAACTACCTTAAAGGCGTACGACGAGGATGCAGCCTTTCACCCATGCTGTTCAACCTGTACTTTGATGAAATACAGTCGACTCCCAATGACTCGAAACTGCAAGGGAAATCGAAAAAAAGTACGAGTTATCGGGAGCTTGAAGAAAATAGCCGGGAGTGAGGAAAAAAACAGCTTTTACTGCATAGTGAACATCTTAAACGCAACCCAAGAGTGTGTGATATTGGAGTAAGCTCGTTAATTTAGTTTAGTTGAAATGAACCGTTTTTTAATTGAATTTTTTTTTCGAATATATGATATGTTTTAAATGGAATGAATTTCTTTAATCGAAATTAAGTGTCTTTTTTTTTTAATCGAAAGGAATTATGTAAATAGTACTTTGACTGAATAGTTTTTTAAGTGAAATTAATTGTAAATAGGATTTTATAGTTAGCTTTGTTATCAATAAAAGATTTGGGTTATTATTATTTTAATCACCTTTACTGGCCTTTAATTAAAATTAAAATTAAAAGATATTTCTAAATTATAAATCAGAACGTAACGTAACAAAACATTGCCGAAATAGAGCATGATTTTTACTGTTTTAAGAAGTAAAGCTGTTTCACGTTAGATTTGTGACAAACAACGTCAGCCTCCACTAGTAAACCGATATGCCTACAACATGTCAATAGGAAATTCTGAGGGGAAACAAAAACTACTTCGAGTTAGTGGGAGGTTCGAGTTATCTAGGGTAAAATTACAGTAAATGTATGACGGAAATGCAGGGTAAATCGATTTTGGTTCGAGTTAGGGTGAGGTTCGAGTTAGCGAGGGTTCGAGTTATCGGGAGTCAACTGTACCGTTTTTGCTTGATAGGGATGAAACGGACCCAATTATTTGGCTAATGGCACCCGCCTGACGTTCCTTTTTATATGCTGATGATTTGATCCTAATCTTAAAATCACCAGACTGTAATGACTGGTTACTAGTTCCATAAACCCAAAGAAAACAAGTTAGTTTTCCAACAAAAGTGTAGAAAATCAACAAAAAACAAATATTGCTTTCACATTAATGATAAAAGCATCAAAAGTGTTAACAATTATACTTACCTCGGAGTTAATTTCTCTTCTACAGGCAAATTCAGAGATTGCAAAACAGTTTTAGAACAATAAACACGTAGATCCATATTTGCAACTCGCCGATATCGCGGAAATTTCATAAAATTACCACTTGTTCTTCAGATGCTCTTTGATTTCCTCTTTCTTCCTATTTTACTTTATGGTTTGGGGTGCTTATGGCAAAGATAATTTCTCCACGGGGGAGAAAGATGAAATAGAAAAAAACTCATACATATTTTTGGAAACAAACGCTAGGTGTAAATAACCAGCGATCGATGTCTACAGTTATCCACAAACTTAGCTGATCGAAACGTCTCACTTGAAGTTTCATGCTCAGAGTAAATAGTTTACGATACAAACCTCTTTACCTCCCATCTCAGGTCAAATCTAAAAATAAACGTTATGAAACATCGTTAATTAATACAAACCGAAAACTAAACTTTTAAGCCTCTTTCAAAAAAGATGTCAGGAAAACAGTAGTGACTGATTTGATAAACAATCCCCCACATAAAATATATTGCCATAAAAAAAATTCCGTTTAGGGAATACTTAACGTATTAAAACGGGCAGACACAACGCCAAAAACCCAGATGCACCAATAAAATTACAGAAGTATTGCCCGCAGCTAGTAAGGCTATTCGAGGCGGGACAATGCCTGCAAAATATAAAAATAAAGACTAAGGCTATTAACTAAGGAAAGTTTACAGTTAAGAAATAAATGAAACGAAAATCGTAATATAGTTGAGGACAACTGACCAACTTGTTTGAGTTATGACAATTGAAAGTATAGTGAATTAATCCTGTTAATCCTCTCTAGATCATGATCGCTCTATAATGGTAAAAGAATCATTCCAGTAGAAATATTTCTCCTGTTCGTAGTTATAAGCGTTTGAAATAAGTATATTTTGGAGAGACTGGTCATATCTGTGGCAACCGCCAAACCTGTCTCGAGGAAAGTTGTACCCACAATATAAAGTTGAACCTGGTGGAGCAATGCAGTCTTCTTTAAGCACGCAAATAACAAGCCATTTCATGACACGTCTTTGAACTTCATCCTTGTTTACATAAACCACTGCACCGCCTTGTAGCATGTCCTTAACTGCTCCTGCCGTTTCCATCGGAAGGTACTCCAGCATTGTTGGATGCGTAGCGGTTATTATGGAGTGACCGGTTGTGCTGACATAGAACACTGCACCCGTATTGTGGCGGAACATAAGCTCGATTAAAACATTTGTTTGATTTCCTGTGAACTTGACAGATGAATCAAACCACATTATCCCGTCAAATTCAGACAGCATTTGTTGAATAATCAGGATTTTCCAACCATAATTATGCAGGTTACGAATGTGTTGGGGGTATGCATCAAAGTTGAATTTTCTGTACACTACATCAGGCATTGTTCTGACTTCATTAATCTCCGCGTCATTTAATCCAAGATCGTAGAAAAACCATTTTATTCCTGGAAATTGCTTTCTAAATTCTTCGATATGATGTTTAAATTCTCCGTAGTGGTTACTGGAAGACCCAGTTACTGGAGCGACCAGATCGAAAAATGGGGTCTTGGCATCTATGGACTCGACTGGCTTTCGCTTAAACGTTTGGTCCCGAAGAACAGCTTTTACTAAGGCTAAATCTGAACTATCAAACTTGAACTCTTTTCCGATTAGGGACGAGTTAAATCCAGCAACATAATGGCCAACTTGGAGCCGTTCATCACCATCAATTTCTGTACTGTTACTAGCTATACTTTCCTTGGCGTTCGAAGTCCTAGGGACACTATGGTTATAAACGAAGCGAAGTTTGGGTTCATGGAAAGTTGTGTCACTAATGTCTTCGGTCTTGAGTACCATGTAACCATAGAGCGAACCCAGAATCAAGATGACAGGAAGCGAAACGAGCCTCCTGTTAAAGTTCATTTTCATTTTGAAAAGGGCTTCCCGTTATCTGCAAAACGTGAATACACAATCAGCGATGAGTCTGTATACACTACTTGAAATATCGCATGTATGCATGTATGAAACATTTCAACACATTCGTTGTCTTGTTGGCCCTCAACTCCGAGGCGGACGTCTGGCAAATAATTTTCTCAGACATACATTCCCTCTAAGAACAAAATTGTTTGCCTGTGGTTCATAATACAGTCGAACCTCGACATAACTTACCTCTGTATAACGAAGTCTTCGGTATAATGAGCGATTCTCTTTACCCTTGAAAAAATAGTCTGAAATCGCAAGTCTGAAATGTTATACGCTTGCAACACCTAACCAGTGGGGGGCGTGGGGGAGAGAGACGTCTGAATTCTGAGCGTATGTTCCATTATGGCTCTTGGTTAGGGACGGACCCTTAGAAAAGTTATGGGGGGGAGGGGAATTTTCGATTTCTGGTCATCAAGAATTTTTTTCCCTAACAGTCTGGTGGGCAGGATATTTTTTCCCTTTTTTTCCCATAAGCTTTCTATTACATTTGTGCTGCATGCAATTTTTTTCTTCCGACAAGCGCTTGCAGGAAATGTTTTTTCAAAATCACCCACCCCCCCTCCCCTCAAGAGTTAAATGGTCGGCCCATTACGACCCTGAGGTGAAAGACAATAGAATTCCAGCGCTAACAAGCCTCTTTTTGTTTTAGTTCATCGACGACTTTGTCTCAGTATATGCAGACATAATTAGGTCGACACTCAATAACATCCGTCGAAAGACCCTATGATCTTCGGTCGGTCTTCTTAATTATAGTGACGTCATTCCTCGGTGAAGGGTTTCCGAACAAGACTTTAGCAAATACCTCGCAGTGAAATAGTTTCATATGTCTGAAGTTTAAACTCGCTTTTTCTCTATTTTATCTCCCTTTTGCTCCAATCAAAATTTTGGCTCGAATAAATGAATTCCACTAATCGTCACTGGATTCCAGGAAATAAAATAATGAATGCTTTCATTAAACTCTTCTGATAAGATTTTCTCTTTCTCGATGGCTGAAGACGCCTACAAGTTATCGAAGTTTGGTCAAGATTTTGAGTGTGGAAACACAGCAAAATAAACCGCTATAAATCACTTTGTGGAAGAGATTTATCTTTGATATATTCTTATTGTGGAATGTCATGGGACAAAGAGGAAAGATACTTTTGCCTTGTAGCCTCCCCGCAGACGTCCTCTGGGGTTCGTTTGTCACGCATTCATTTCTCCCCCACGAACCGTGGGGGAGAAATGAATGCCTGACAAACGAACCCCAAAGGACGTCTGCGGGCAGGCTCATTGCCTTGTTCATCGAACTAGCAAATAACCACCTCATCCGGGCCATAAAATTCACTGCTTACCGGTTTTGGAGATTAAAACCAATATTCTGCATACATTTGTAAAGGAGAAAAAAAATTTAAAGCTCGAGATCAATCCTAGATATGCATGGGTAAAAACTCCAAACCGACAAAGAAAACTTTAAAATCAATATCCGTCCACGATATTTTACTTCAAAAACTTTGAGATGAAATGATTATTTATATTGATTTACCCGAATTAATATTAACTTGATTGAAAACTCGGCTTCTCATGTTTGCATTTTTCTTTTCCAATATACATGATTGACCTTTTTGTAAATAAATCTATCTTGTTTTTGAGCCTTTTGTTATATTTTTGTGTGTATATTAATGCAGCTTTTAATCGTTATCCTAGTCTTTTATTTTTCGTACGCTTTCGCAATACTGTAAAGTTTACGGTCATAAAGATTTTAAAGCTTATTGTTGTTGTTGTTGTTGTTGCCCGGCCTGAACTGAGAAGTTTGTGTCCCGGTTATAACAGGGGTACGGAATAGCGTGGTCCTGGTCCATACATTTTAATAAAACTGGACTGAATAGTCCTGTACTTTTTGTTATTATTATTCTTTACAAACAAACAATTACAATTTATTACAGACATTTACAATTCGATACAACTAAGTCTAATTATCGATTACTAAAATTTATCTTTCATTACAACATATATCTATTTTGAAAGGGAGAAAAAAAGGGAAATAAAGAAAAAAAATTTGCCACAAAACGACTACAATAACAAACACAAGAAGGTTGGCTGCCTTTTGTGAGGGTCTCAATGGGGTGGTGGCTTTTACGGTTATCGGCTAAAATTTTGGCTCTTTTACGGCTATCGGTTAATTTTTTTCAGTTACGGTTAACAAAAAGTTAAAAATTAACTTATTTTGTTTCAAAAAGTTAAATATTAATTAATCTGTATTTTTTGTATCTTTAAATCAAAATAAAGGTCTTCGGATCATCTCAGGATGAAACAAGCTATTCTTTTCAAAAATTTTAACATCTGATAGATCTTACTTTTTATAAAGTATTTCACTTCTAATATTATTTTACACATAGAAATGTCAATAGTCAATTTAAAAATAATCTTTGTGAAAAAGCAAAAGCGGACACGCAAACGGGCAAACTCAAGGCCGGGCCGCGACATTCATTATAACAGAAATGGCCGTTTTCACACTAGAGACGGATTATTCGTGTGAGACGGGTTATCCGTTTGATGATCTACGTCAGATAGGTAATACTTCTTAATTTGAAAATGGAATAGTTTTAATTTTGAATGAACAATCCGCCTGACTTTATCGGTCAATTTTGACAGACAGTTTGAAGACGGGATTATCCGTCCCAGATAGCCTGTGTACGGCCGTCCCCTTCCCTTAGAAAAAAATCGAAGAAGGAGTGTCTGTGGGGAGGGTGCGACTGTACGCAGGCCAGTTTCAGAGGGATAATCCATTTCTAGCTCTAGCGTGAAAACGGCCAATGACAAAATTCCCATGTCCAGTGCTTTTAATGATAGCGAAGGACTGTACGGAACGACTGTCTGCCGTTGCCTTGATCGTAAGCCTCATTATTCCGCGCAGCTAATGCGTTTCGGGTCACGTGGTCCTAGCGCGTTCGCCTCCGAAATGCCTTGACCGAGATTGCGTAGGGAGACGCCGTACAGGGACTAGGCATGGCAATGTCTACCGTAGCGTCAGAGAAAAACAGGGAAAAGTTGTTTATCGGCGACGTGTTTTACAAACAGTGACATCTCTGCGAGTTGTTTCACTAGTGTTTCGAGGGCACGACTTCCTAAAAATCGCAAATATTCATCCCCAGCAAAAAGCCACACTTTCGCTCTGGAAAAAATTAGTTCCCCGAGAGAGTGGCGGAAATGGAGCCTTGGTCTTGGTCAACACCTAAAAGGCGCTTCGCCTAACGTGTGTACGGAGCCACACTAGCCGGGAAATAAAAAACGCAACCATAAGCGAGTTTACTACCTCCCTTAAAAGTAGCAAATCTAGGAAACAGTTTCTTTTACGGTCAACTGTTTTTTACTGTATTTACGGCTAACGGTTAAAATTTTTCAATTTTTACGGCTATCGACTAAATTTTTGGCCGTTTTACGCCTATCGGTTAACCCCATTGAGACCCTCTTTTGTTTTTCCCTCCCATATCTGCCCATCCCTTACTTGCATCTTATTTAGCTGTTTAGATTAATTAAAATTACTTTTCTGAGGGGCATTGTTTGAAAGGAGCCCATTTCTTCCTAAAGGAGGCTAAGTTACTGAATAGTACTGTACTGGATTTTCCCAGAGGTAAGCAAAGTTTTCTGGTTCCTCAGTTCCTGCTTCCTAACCCAAATAGTTTCCACGCGGGTGACTTGAAGAGATTTAAGTTTCTCTTTAAAAAAATCGACAACAGTTTTCCGTGGTATGTACCTTTATCAACCATAGAAATGACTTCAAAATGTTCAAAACTCAAGTGGAACCACAAACCGCGGGCGAGTAGTTTCACTGCAAAGTTTTGACGTCATTGCTATGGTCGATGAGAGTACAGATCATGGAAAATGGTTGTCGATTTGCTTTTCACAATAACATTTTCTTGACAGTTTTTGACGTCCATTTTCTTGGATTTGTCTCGGAACATCGCGCGCGAGAGAAAGAGCAAAAAAACGTTACTCTTATTGAACATAGCTCTCGACCAATCAGCTCGCAAGAAATCGCTCAATTATTGTAAAAAACAGTTTGGTGAGGTTATCATCTTCTTGGTCGATGACCCTGTTCTATATGCAGCGCTAGCACTTAAGACCCTCGGTTGTTTGCGTGTGACAAAATCAGAGAAAACACTAGCTTTTGTTTTGAAAAACAATTGATCGACAGTTGTTAAATAGAAACTCTATATAACAACTGTCAATGAATTGTTTTTCAAAACAAAAGCTAGTGTTTCCCTGACTTTGTTACACGCAAACAACCTTTCCCCAGGGCAGTCTTCTCGTTTTCCAATATGGCGGCGTTTCTCCTGACGCCATTTTGAAACCGTGAAGCCCTTGGAAAATTGCGTTATCTCAGTCTTCTGCTATCACCAGAAAAAGGACGTTTCTTAGCAGTTTCACGGCAGCTGTTCATTTGCTTGGCCCCTCTGATCCATCTTCAATGAGCACAGCGCTCTCCTCTCCGGAAGCTCCAGAGGCATGATGTGTTGGTTCTCCTGAGGGTTGTGTGGGGACTCTTTTACCAAGCAACAGGATCAAAGAAATGACTATAAAACTCAGTACCATTAAGTTAACAACAATTAGCATCCAAACAATCGACGAGGATGCAGCTTGATTTTGCAACGCATACCTGACGTTTACGAAAGAGAAGTGCAAAATTAAAAGTACGATGGTCTCGGCTGTATTTTCTAACGGAACTTTCTTGTAAGAATCTTTAAAAGGCCTGTAGAAAAGCTGAAAGCACAGACAGGCTATTAGAACTGAACTCGTTACAGTGGTTTGATACGGTGATGTTCTCGGGATCAAAGAAATCGAGAATGCAATTAGCATGCGTCTTATGAGGTAGAGTATCTCAAAATAGGCATGAAAGTCTTTCTTGTATGGAAGATATATGGAACCTAGCCAGCTGTCTAAGACAGCTTGTTCTTCCTCGGAAAGTTCTTCTCTTTTCCGAACATATATACATAAAAGGGGTAAAAACACTCCCAGAGGAACACCAAAGACAGAGTGTCAAGGCGAACCAACCAAACACTTGCAAGATGGTGTAAGTGCGACCTCCACATCCCTGCCACGGTGCCTCTCGCAAGTAACGATAGCTGTTGTCTTCGTCGCAGGGCGCCAAGACAGTGGCAGTCTTCTTCACAATAGGGAAATAAGTGAGGTTAAGAGATACAATGCAAAGGTGAAAGCAAGTATTTCGAGATGGGAAGATTACGCTTGCAACACCTAACCAGTGGGGGGCGTGGGGGAGAGAGACGTCTGAATTCTGAGCGTATGTTCCATTATGGCTCTTGGTTAGGGACGGACCCTTAGAAAAGTTATGGGGGGGAGGGGAATTTTCGAGCCGCAGCGATTTTTTTTCGTTATCAAACTACTTGTGTGATTTTTTTTAGGCCATAACATGAATATTTTTTAGGATTAATTGGCGTGCATGAATTTTTTTTCATTTCGTTTTCCCTTACTCGAATATTTTTTTTGTACTTCGCCCGCCCCCCCCCGCCCCCAATAAGTTTTCTAATGGTCCGTCCCTTACAATGAATAAATGTTGTCCGGTAACGTCACCTACTTTTGCGAATATGCTCATACCGTGTTTTCGTCAAACAACCAGGACTTCGTATGACAGGAACTGCCGCCAGCCGGAAGCAAGAATAGGTAGCCTCCCCGCAGACGTCCTTTGGCGTTCGTTTGTCACGCATTCATAGTGACAAACGAACCCAAAAGGACGTCTGCGGGGAGGCTAAAGAATAGGTAATGTTTCAGAATTTTTATTCCCTAGCAGTCTGGTGGGCAGGATATTTTTTGCCTTTTTTTCCCATAAGCTTTCTATTACATTTGTGCTGCATGCAATTTTTTTCTTCCGACAAGCGCTTGCAGGAAATTTTTTTTCAAAATCACCCACCCCCCCTCCCCTCAAGAGTTAAATGGTCGGCCCATTACGACCCTGAGGTGAAAGACAATAGAAATCCAGCGCTAACAAGCTTCTTTTTTTTTAGTTCATCGACGACTTTGTGTCATTATATGCAGACATAATATGTCGACACTCAATAACATCCGTCGAAAGACCCTATGATCTTCGGTCGGTCTTCTTAATTATAGTGACGTCATTCGTCGGTGAAGGGTTTCCGAACAAGACTTTAGCAAATACCTCGCAGCGAAATAGTTTCATATGTCTGAAGTTTAAACTCGCTTTTTTTCTATTTTATCTCCCTTTTGCTCCAATCAAAATTTTGGCACCAATAAATGAATTCCACTAATCGTCACTGGATTCCAGGAAATAAAATAATGAATGCTTTCATTTAACTCTTCTGATAAGATTTTCTCTTTTTCGATGGCTTAAGACGCCTACAATTTATCGAAGTATGGTCAAGATTTTGAGACTGGAAACACAGCAAAATAAACCACTATAAACCACTTTGTGGAAGAGATTTATCTTTGATATATTCTTATTGTGGAATGTCATGGGGCAAAGAGGAAAGATACTTATTGTCTTGTTCATCGAACTAGCAAATAACCACCTTATCCGGGCCATAAAATTCACTGCTTACCGGTTTTGGAGATTAAAACCAATATTCTGAATACATTTGTAAAGGAGAAAAAAAATTTAAAGCTCGAGATCAATCCTAGATATGCATGGGTGAAAACTCCAAACCGACAAAGAAAACTTAAAAATCAATATCCGTCCACGATATTTTACTTCAAAAACTTTGAGATGAAATGATTATTTATATTGATTTACCCGACTTAATAACTTAATTGAAAACTCGGCTTCTCATGTTTGCATTTTTGTTTTCCAATATACATGATTGACCTTTTTGTAAATAAATTTATCTTGTTTTTGAGCCTTTTGTTATATTTTTGTGTGTATGTTAATGCAGCTTTTAATCGTTATCCTAGTCTTTTATTTTTCGTACGCTTTCGCAATACTGTAAAGTTTACGGTCATAAAGATTTTAAAGCTTATTGTTGTTGTTCTTGTTACCCGGCCTGCACTGGGAAGTTTGTTTCCCGGTTATAACAGGGATACGGAATAGCGTGGTCCTGGTCCATACATTTTAATAAAACTGGACTGAATAGTCCTGTACTTTTTATTATTATTATTCTTTACAAACAAATAATTACAATTCATTACAGACATTTACAATTCGTTACAACTAAGTCTAAATATAGATTACTAAAATTTATCTTTCATTACAACACATATCTATTTTGACAGGGAGGAAAAAAGAGAAATAAAGAAAAAAAATTGTCCACAAAACGACTACAATAACAAACACAAAAAAGGTTGCCTGCCTTTTGGTTGTCCCTGCCCCATCTGCCCGTCCCTTACTTGCATCTTATTTGGCTGTTTAGATTAATCAAAAATACTTTTCTGAGGGGCATTGTTCGAAAGTAGCCCGTTTCTTCCTAAAGGAGGCTAAGTTACTGAATAATACTGTACTGGATTTTCCCAGAGTTTAGCAAAGTTTTCCGGTTCCTCAGCTGCTGCTTCCCAACCCAAATAGTTTCCACGCGGGTGACTTGAAGAGATTTAAGTTTCTCTTTAAAAAATCGACAGCAATTTTCCGTGGTATGTACCCTTATCAACCATAGAAATGACTTCAAAATGTTCAAAGCTCAAGTGGAACCACAAACCGCGGGCGAGTAGTTTCACTGCAAAGTTTTGACGTCATTGCTATGGTCGATGAGAGTTCAGATCATGGAAAATTGTTGTCAATTTGTTTTTCACAATAAAATTCTCTTGACAGTTTTTGACGTCCATTTCCTTGGATTTGTCTCGGAACATCGCGCGCGAGAGAAAGAGCAAAAAAACTTTACTCTTATTGAACATAGCTTTCGACCAATCAGCGCGCAAGAAATCGCTCAATTATTGTAAAAAAACAGTTTGGTGAGGTTATCATCTTCTTGGTCGATGACCGTGTTCTATATGCAGCGCTAGCACTTAAGACCCTCGGTTGTTTGCGTGTGACAAAGTCAGAGAAAACACTAGCTTTTGTTTTGAAAAACAATTGATGGACAGTTGTTAAATAGAAACTCTATTTAACAACTGTCAATCAATTGTTTTTCAAAACAAAAGCTAGTGTTTCCCTGACTTTGTCACACGCAAACAACCTGTCCCCAGGGTAGTCTTCTCGTTTTCCAAATGGCGGCGTTTCTCCTGACGCCATTTTGAAACCGTGAAGCCCTTGGAAAATTGCGTTATCTCGGTCTTCTGCTGTCACCAGAAAAAGAACGTTCCTAAGCAGTTTCATGGCAGCTGTTCATTTGGTTGGCCCTTCTGCTCCATCTTCAATGAGCACAGCGCTCTCCCCTCCGGAAGCTTCTGAGGTATGATGTGTTGGTTCTCTTGAAGGTTGTGTGGGGACTCTTTTACCAAGCAACAGGATCAAAGAAATGACTATAAAACCCAGTACCATTAAATTGACAACAATTAGCATCCAAACAATCGACGTGGATGCAGTTTGATTTTGCAACGCATACCTGACGTTTACGAAAGAGAAGTGCAAAGTTAAAAGTACTATGGTCTCGGCTGTATTTTCTAACGGAACTTTCTTGTAAGAATCTTTAAAAGGCCTGTAGAAAAGCTGAAAGCACAGACAGGCTATTAGCACTGAACTCGTTACAGAGGTTTGATACGGTGATGTTCTCGGGATCAAAGAAATCGAGAATGCAATTAGCATGCGTCTGATGAGGTAAAGTATCTCAAAATAGGCATGAAAGTCTTTCTTGTATGGAAGATATATGGAACCTAGCCAGCTGTCTAAGACAGTTTGTTCTTCCTCGGCAAGTTCTTCTCTTTTCCGAACATATATCCATAAAAGGGGTAAAAACACTCCCAGAGGAACACCAAAGACATAGAGTGTCAAGGCGAACCAACCAAACACTTGCAAGATGGTGTAAGTGCGACCTCCACATCCCTGCCACGGTGCCTTTCGCAAGTAACGATAGCTGTTGTCTTCGTCGCAGGGCGCCAAGACAGTGGCAGTCTTCTTCACAATAGGGAAATAAGTGAGGTTAAGAGATACAATGCAAAGGTGAAAGCAAGTATTTCGAGATGGGAAGAACCTTTCAAATGGATTCCAAAGTCGACGAAGCAAACACCCAAGTGAAAAATACAGCCAAATGGACAAAATGCAGATGACGGGAAAGAGAATAAGGGATAACAACTCACCAAGTGGAGTAAATAGAACTGGAAAAACACAAGCAAAACCTGAAAACTGAAGATTAAACACACCACTCATGTATCGCCGAGCTTGAAGAATCTTCTTCGGCCAAATATCCATGTCGGAAATTAGAGCATCCAAGGTTTGGAAATAAAAGACGCTGATCTTGAGAATCCCTCTTGATGCTTTTCCTCTTCCAGCTAGACCAACAATAAGGTATACTATATTGAGTTCAAGAAACCAACCGGGAATGAACTGGAACATGGCTAAAACGAACAAAATAATGGTTTGAGCAAAGGCGACTAAAATGGAAAGAAGACGTTTCTTTTGGTAGAAATAAAATGCGACGGTTAAAACCACCATGGTCACAACAAGAGCTGCCAAGATGTAGACGCTACTTTCAGACTTTGGACAAGCATGACACAAGATTCCTTGCTTATAATAACCTTCCTGACAGCGTGAACAAAAACGGTCTTTACTACCTTTACGACAAAGGCACGACTTATCACAAACAGTAGCTGATCTAGTTCCGCTAACGACAATTCCACAGTGGCAAGTCCCGGAGGGGTTGCACGGTGTATTTTCTTGAAAGCCAGCACCCAATTTTTGCACGCATTTCACAAGATGAGTAACGTTCTTGTCACCCCGTGATGATGGCCAATAACCCACATGCATAATCATTCGTTGACTGTGGAGCTTCTGGTCGTGGCACGAAGCGCCTTTCATGCAAGGCAAGCAGTCTTTTCCAGAGCCGTAGTATCCGATGTCGCAAATGCACAGACGGTAAAAGTAGTACCTGGGATCTAAAATTACCAGTCCGTCGTTGTAATTAAGGCGAGCACTGGGACACTTAAATTTGTCTGATGGGTTTCTACGTGTTAAAGTGTTAAAATCAGCCCTCATAAATTTGGGTAAAATGTCACCATCCAAGACAGATTCATGCATGTGCATGTTCTTTGAAACGTCAAGGAACTGTAGCATTTGCAGCCGAGCAATCTGTGAAGGAATTTGTCCAGAAAGATTGTTTGCAGACACATCGAGATGAAGAAGGAACATAAAAAAGTTGTCCGTTGGCGTTGGTAGCTCTCCGTGTAAACTGTTATTTTTTAAATCCACAGAGATTAGGTTTCTGAAGTTCCACAACTTTGTTGAAATCCTTCCAAACATGTTGCAATCGCTAACGTTAACAATGCGTAAAGAGGTATTTGTTGGTTTTAAAGAATCCAACAGATTATTGAAGTTCACAGTGAGTTTCTGATTCCCGCCAAGTAAAAGCACCTCGAGTGACTTTGATGCAAACGTGGTTCCAGCTTGTAGCGATATAAAATTATTTTCACTGAAATCAGCGACTTGAAGCCCTGGAATGGCACCAATGCTTTTAGGTATCTGCCCAGAAAATTTGTTTTTTGCCAAGTCCAAATGCTGCAAGTCAGTCATATTGCCAATCGTTGAAGGAATGTTCCCAGTAAAATGGTTTCCTGACAGGAGACATTGTTTCATTGCAGGAAAGAATAGTCCAAATTCATCAGGCAAAGTGCCGTGGAGACCTGCAAGAGAAAGATGCAAGTAGCGTAGCGATGACACGTAAAACAGATTCTCAAATCCGCCACTAAGATTAGCCGTTTCAAGATCTAAAAACCATAGCTTTGTCAGCCTCCCAATACTGTGAGGTATTGAACCATTTATCTGGTTTTGCCCAAGGGAAATTACTTGTAATTCCGTTAAGTTTCCAACATCTTTTGGTAATCCTCCAGACAGCCCTTCTCCTATTTGACAACAAAGTTGTATCTTGACCAAAGACTTCATCTTTGGAAGAATTTCCCCGGGAATCGTGCCAGACAATCTGTTGAATGCCAGGTCAAGTCGAAGTAAAGCAGTCATATTGGCAGACAAAACTTCATCGACCTTTCCAGACAATCTACTGTTACCGTAAACACACAAACCCTGCAAATTGCGTAACTTCCAGAGGTTTTTTGAAAGGGTGCCACGTAAGTTATTTTGAACCAAAGACAGGCTGATGACATAACTGTGACTTGTGTTATCACAAGTCACTCCATACCACAAGCAATGCGACACATTATTGTTTCTCCAGTTAGTCTTATTGTTCCATCTGGGGCCTTCTGTTTGGTTGAACAGCTCTATAAGCACAGTCTTTTCTTGTTCCGGTGTAAATGTCGTATCAAGTGTGATGTTTGGTATCGGAATTTCATACAAACAACCATAAGCGAAGCTTTCACTATAATTCTTCTTTTGCCTCTCTGAACCTGGAAGCAAAAAAGTACGCAGCCAAAGACTTAATTGAGCTGACATGGTTGGAGACAGTTTTCAGTAGGCTATAGCGACTTCCCTATGGTATTCCCCATAGTGGATGAGGGTCATAATGGGGTTAACCGATAGGCGTAAAACGGCCAAAAATTTAGTCGATAGCCGTAAAAATTGAAAAATTTTAACCGTTAGCCGTAAAAAGGGGAAAAAAAAAGTTAACCGTAAAAGAAATTGTTCCCTAGATTTGCTACTTTTAAGGAAGGTACTAAACTCACTTATGGTTGCGTTTTTTATTTCGCGGCTAGTTTGGCTCCGCACGCACGTTAGGTAAAGCGCCTTTTAGGTGAAGACCAAGACCCATTTCCATTTCGGTCGCTCTCTCGGGGAACTTATTTTTTTTTCTATAGCGAATGTGTGGCTTCTTGCTGGGGATTAATATTTGCGATTTTCAGGAGGTCGTGCCCTCAAACACTAGTGAAACAACACGAAGAGATCACACTGTTTGTAAAACAAGTTGCCGATAAACAACATTTCCCTGTTTTTCTCTGACGCTACGGTAGACATTGCCATGCCTAGTCCCTGTACCGCGTCTTCCCACGCAATTTCGGTCAAGGCATTTCGGTGGCGAACTCGCTCAAACCACGTGACCCGAAACGCATTAGCCGCACGAAATAATAAGGCCTACGGACAAGGCAAAACGGCTGACAGTGGTTCCGTACAGTCCTTCGCTACCATTAAAAACACTGGACACGGGAATTTTGTTATTGGCCGTTTTCACACTAGAGCTAGAAACGGATTATCCGTCTGAGACTAGCCTGTGTACAGTCGCCCCCTTCCCGACAGACACCCCCTCTCCGATTTTTTTCCTGAGGGTAAGGGGCGGTTGTACACAGGCTATCTGGAACGGATACCGTCTTCAAACTGTCCGTCGAAGTTGAAGGATAAAGTCAGGAGGATTGTTCATGCAAAATTAAAACTATTCCATTTTCAAATTAAGACNAATGAAGCCCCTAAAGAGACCATACCACAACACATTATGAAGACATTTGCTTTTTAAAGAGTATTTCTTTACGCACAACCTTAAATACCTTTATGGTAAAAATATTGGCTTTCTGTTTTTCCGACTGTATGAGAGACAAGTCTGAGAAAACAGCCCACCAATCACGACGCCACCACTGGTTCCACGCGAAATGACGTCTGAGAAACGAGCACAGATATTCCATAATGATGACGTGGCACTACATAGCATGAACCGCGGAGTAAGTTTTATATTGGGAGGGCACTATCCCCAGCGCCGAAGGGGCGAGTTTTATAGGGGGTTCGGAGGCATGCTCCCCGGAAAATAAACATTAGAAGCTCACCTTTTTCATGTTGAATCAGTCAAGTGAGGTAAGGGTTTGAGTCGAAACCGGTGCTCATTGTTTTTATTAAGCAGTGATACGCTTTAAACAGCTCAGTGAACATGAAGATGTTAAAACAACAACAGTAACAAGTAACGATGAAATCAAAACCAGTCTGTAAAATCCCACTAATCACGGTAAAAGATCTTGCACTGTGAAAGTACCAAAGTTTCTTTTCCTGTTTTCATTTCTTGCTATAAACTCGTTTGCCACATCCCAAGTCGCAAGTTATCGGTACGGGTCTTGTGGGTGTTTAGCAAGGCCACGTGATTAAAGCGCTTTTGCGACATCTTTGCTCTAAACCAGGATTTTATCCGCCTTCAGGGGTGTAGCCTGGATTTTTCAAAGGGGGGGTCACAGCAGGGACACCATCCGGGGATCGCCGACTATATATGGTTTATACCGCTGCTCTCCCTCGTGTATCAGCGGGCTCAGTCGTATTATCGCGGCATGAAGGTTCATATTAACTAAAGACAAGAGCCGTTGACAAAAATACTTTACAAGAAAACAAATTTTAAAAAAGTGGTCTTTTCAACAATGGCTTTTACGGCCAAGATACTGTCATGGCGTTTTCACCACCTGAATATTGTAGGTTGTTTGCTCATAACAAGGCCTACCAAGGGGTGGTCACGGGCACCCCAGGACCCCCCCTAGCTACGCCCCTGGCCTTGCTGTTGAAAACGAACGTTTGCCAGAAGCACTTGTTGCGGGGTTGACGTGAATCAGAACACAGAACTGTATCACCTCACTGATCATACTTGTATGGGCAGAATCGACATTTTCAATCGCTTTCAAATGATGTCTGAAAAACATTCTAGTTTTTCTCCGTGCATTAAAATTTTGAAAATATCCAGGTGTGGAATCAGATATTCCATCCTTATGTCATTGAATTACATGGGTGCGCCGCAAAGCAAAACAAAGCTGTTTTGCGTAGAATAAAAGTTTTAAAAAGTGAAAGCAAAACCACAAACAAAACAAGTGAGTTTCTTTTCTGAACTTCTTCTCTTTAAATTTTTAGAAGGATTTTTTAAGGGCAATTGCGGCAAATTATTGAGGGGGCATGTGCCCCCCACCGGCCTCCCCGGCTCCGCGGTTCCTGCATAGCTGGGTATAGATCGTTTTTACATGACGTCACAGGGGCCATATTGGTGGACAAGACAATAAAAAGGGCGGCCACGTTGGGTTGCAAGAAAATCTTGTGGGGAATTTATTCCGAGAAATCTGCATAGCCACTGATCACGTGAATAAGAATGATCTATTGCTTCTCACTGGCTAAAAATTTGCTTCAATCAATCAGAAGCACTACCCAGATCTGGGTTGTGACACATCATCGGTATGCAGTTTCTGCACTCGTTCCTCTGACGTCTTTTGGCTGAGTGGTCGCTGGGAAGTCAGTGGTTCCGAAATATGCATTTTGTTAATAAGGTAAAAAGTTTATAGCCAGATATAAATTAGTCTCAAAAGCCAACTCACAAGGAGGTGTAAAACAAGGATAATTCATACCCAGGCAGGGGCGGATCCAGGGGGAGGGTGCAGGGGGTGCGCACCCCCCCCTGGGATGACCTGCGGCCGCTTTCTAATTAACACTGTGCAGTCGCTTGACAGACATACAAAATCTGCTCTATGGTTTGATATGTATTCTCAGCAGTTCACATTATGTTATTTCCTAGTCAAAAGCCCTCTTCTTCGTATTCGCTTTTAAAATTTTTTACGTCTTCAATCAGTTAGTGGTGCACCCCCTCCTAAGAAAAATCCTGGATCCGCCCCTGCCAGGCTTTCACGTCATGCATAATTAGTGAGGTCTAGCGACCAGAAGAGTAAATTGGCTTAAATTGATGATGTTGGTAACTATTACTATTTATCTGTTTTTAAATGGGAGGTTTTGGCCTTTTAAAACCTGTAAAGTGATTGATTTGCAATCAATTGCAATCCCAAGAAAGCCATATACAAAGTACAAAATGTCGACGTTCCCCCTTTCACTTTTTCTTGCGGAGAAATAAGAATTGAGTACACTTCCGCGACTTCCGCCTTTTCCCAGAAATTCCTCACAGATAGCGCTACAAGGGCTATTGAGCTATTTTGACAGCAAAACCGTAATGTAGAAACTACACTTAAGCGAACGAAATGTCTGCTTACAGGAACAATAAAAAGGAACAAAACTTTATCTAAAAATAGTGCTGGCTTTAATATCGGAATAACATCTCACAAATTGTCAGAATATGCATTTGTGCTATTTGTTGATGACAAGAGCAACTTGGAGCACATGAGTAAAACTTGGAATGTTGTATGTGGTATTCAAGATAAGCTTTGTGTAAATTTTTCAAATTGCTCAATAAAATTGCACTAAAAACGAACTTGAAGGTGTAGTAGTGATGCGTTTCTCTTCCCAAATGACAGATGTAATATTTTAGTCTGCGTTAAGGTTTTCAAAAGCGGAGTTTGTATCGAGAGGCTCACTCACCAACTGTTTTGTCGATTTCTCCTCCGCCATGATAAGACAGT